GTGGTGAGTGGTGCCACATTATGTACCGTTTATCGGGGATTTTTGTTGACCCTTGTGGCGCCTCTTAATTAGGAAAACCATTTGTTTTAGACCTTGTTTGGAAGACGCTGGCCGGTGGTTTGTCAGGTTAGTCGTTTATAATGTTGATTCTTTGTTTTTGTTAGTGTCTCTTACCCCATGAGCTTCTTTTTATGACTTACTGTAAATATGTAGCTCTTGTAATAGCACTTTCTCTGTAACCAGCTGACACTGTAACTATAAGGTGTGAAGGATAGAAGAAATTGTTTATGTAATAATCTAAGATGAGGTCTGATAAAGACCTTTTGTGCCCTCTGTAATGCTTTTGCGCTACCGCTCACAGGATGAGTATGGGGTGCACAATAAACTAGCCGCCTTCGGCGGCAACAATCAATAGGGTGTGGAAGGTGGTAATATTCAGGGTTTACAATTGTTTTTGTACAATTTTCAGGGTTATTAGGAAGTTCCTAATATTCTCTTCGTGGGTGACGGAGAGTTACTGATCTGTGGAGTTATCTTTTCTTAATATTTCTAACTTTGAGTTGTAGCGACACCTTAAGTGCTTGGAGCTCCTAGAATACTAATCTGTCATAAGAAATTATATAACGAAAAAATTATTAACTCTATGGACTAGTTCCAGAATATTTCACATCTATTGACTTCATGAAGGTTTGGAGGCTGATTTCCCTTATTAAGGAGGGCCATTAGGGCCGACCCACGTCCTATGACAGTACCCTTTCCACCACCAGTCACCCTGCAGAGTTTAATGAGGCTAGCCCAAAGTGTCTGGCCTTCAACTTTGAACAGGCAGACACCCTTTTTCATAGATATAAATGTCTCTTACCGATTAGGGGTGTACATCTATATGCAGGCGATGAGTCACAATAACGTGACTGAAGAATGTTGACCAGACCACACACTAGAAGGTGAAGGGACGACGACGTTTCGATCCGTCCTGGACCATTCTCAAGTCGATTGTGAGAATGGTCACAATCGACTTGAGAATGGTCCAGGACAGATCGAAACGTCGTCGTCCCTTCACCTGCTAGTGTGTGGTTTGGTCAACATAAAATGACTTATTTACATCCCTAGCTGTTAAGATATATACACATATATAAACAAGATGATAACACTGACGGGGAAGATTATAACATAAGAATGAAGGTAACTGCTGAGGGCCTATTGACCCATACGGGGCAGCTCCTATTTATATCCACCCAATCTCATTCATATATATGTCTAGCCTACGCCTGAAACAATCAAGGGATCCTACTTCTATTATGTTGCGCGGTAATTGATTCCACAAATCAACAACCCTGTTACCGAACCAGTATTAACCCAGGTCTTTCCTATATCCAAACTTATCCAATTTATACCTAATGTTTTGTGTTCTATTTTGTGTTGGTACTTTTAATACCCTATTATTATCCCCTTTATTATGCCCAATCATCCACTTGTACACCTCTATCATGTCACTACTAATACTTCGCCTTTCTAGAGAATATAATTTAAGCTTTGTCAATCTTTCTTCATATGTTAGGTTTCTAATTTGCGGGATTAACTCTCATCCATCGCTGTCATGTCATCCTACGCTGGACACGTTCTAGGGAATTTATATTCATTCTATAGTACGGCGACCAAAAATGAACTGCATAATCTAAATGGGGCCTAACTAGAGCAAGATATAGAGAAGATTATCTTCAGACGCTGAAGGCATCTTCAGCTGTTGATCAGAAGAAGATGGTCAGTGTGAAGAAGTTATCATCTTCACACTGACGGTGAAGATGATAACACTGACCAAGACAACACCGAGAGTGAAGACTGTAACACTGCTAGTGAAGAGGAGAGAAATAAGCCAGGGGGCCAGATTCACGAAGCAGTTACGCAAGTACTTACGACCGTGTACATCTTTCCTCAATCTTTGACGGCTTTGGTTACATTTATTAAACAGTTTACAAGCATGAAAACTTCCCAATCAACAGTTATTATTGTTATAAACAGCCTCCTGGTGCTTCGGAGCTCATTAACTGTTGAATAATTGTAAACAAAGCCGCCAAAGATTGAGAAAAAATGTACAGGTTCGTAAGTGCTTGCGTAAATGCTTCGTGAATCTGGCCCCTGGTCCTGCCCTCTGACCGGCCGCTCAACCAACGCACAAGGACCGTCACGTATATACACACACAGTAACTGTGCTCGGTGGTGGTCACATGTCATCGCCCAAAGCAAAAGCTTGGCTGAGCACATAAGCTGGCCCGGGGTGGATGGTGGGAGCTTCGCACAGACTCAGAGGTGCAGCTTAATGCAATTTGCCATGATCCAATTTGTCGAGTGGTCGGAGCTTGGGACGACTCCTCTGTGCTCGATTCCTTCCTCTATCTCCCTGTGTGTGTCTCTCTCTCACTCTCCAAGTCTCACTTACTGTCTCTCTCTCTCTCTCACCCTCCTTCCCCTCTCCCGACGGCATATTTCCTGTCTCTGCTACACTTTCCGTCCTTCTGTCTTTCAGACATGCTCGTCCCGTACTTCCAGTCTCTGTCTTGGCCCGTTTCCTGTTCTTTCTGACTCCCTGTTTGTCTGTCTGTGCCCATGTCCGCTACTACCTGGCCTGTCTGCTTTCTCATCACATCCTCGCTGCCCACCACCCTGTCTACATTTTTGCCTGCCTACCTCACCAGGTTTGCCTGCCTATCTCACCAGTTTTGCCTGCCTATCTCACCAGTTTTGCCTGCCTATCTCACCAGGTTTGCCTGCCTATCTCACCAGGTTTGCCTGCCTATCTCACCAGGTTTGCCTGCCTACCTCACCAGGTTTGCCTGCCTATCTCACCAGGTTTGCCTGCCTATCTCACCAGGTTTGCCTGCCTACCTCACCAGGTTTGCCTGCCTATCTCACCAGGTTTGCCTGCCTATCTCACCAGTTTAACGACGACTCTGACACATTAACAGCATCTCGGGCCCACTGTAGGGTTGTAACGATCGCAAACGGAGTAGATCGTAAATATTGAAGATCGTAATATTGTAAATATCGTAGATCGTCTTGCTGCTAAACGTTTCCGAAGAAAGCTTAGACGAAATCCGAGTCGAAGTCGTCCTCGTGGTGGACAAAAGAAGGCGCTATAGTCCAGGATATAGTTACCCCAATATCCTCGACCAGGCTCGACCAGTAGGCCTGGTCGAGGACCGGGCCGCGGGGACGCTAAGCCCCGAAATCATCTTAAGAACACCCCCCAGGCCAAGCTTGGAGAGGCTGAGGCGGGAATTGTCACCCCTTTTTTTTTAAGAGAGAGATTTGCGAATATATATATTTTTTCCGTTCTTTGATGTTTATTCAATATACTCGTGTTGTCGCAGGAGACAGTAAGACGGTCTGAAGTGTAAAGGGAATTTATGATACCTCGTAAACACACATAAAGAATACTTGATAAAGGGCGGAAACGTATAGAAGAGATGGGTGAAGGAATGAAGGAATGAGGAGAAATGAAAGATGGCGGGAAGGAATCGTCTCACGGCTCCTTCTGTTATTATTATTATTATTATTATTATTATTATTATTATAAATATTTGTATGAATCAGTTGTTGGGTCTCGGAACATAGCAGCTCGTTCTAGGTTATATGAAGGATGATTTAGGACAACAGTGGCCCCTTACGACCATGGACGGGTAGTTAAGGGTGATGGTCTGGATACCTCGGTGGTGTAAGGGCTCGTTTGGGAGGGTATTGGGTTGTGACTGGCTCTCTCGGGGTCACTCTTAACACGTCAGTCATATCTGGCCCGGATGGTGATATGTCGAGTCATGTCTCCCCTACCCCCCCCCACACGCTCTCTCTCTCACGCGCTCTCTCTCTCTCTCTCTCTCTCTCTCTCTCTCTCTGTCTCTCTCTCTCTCTCTCTCTCTCTCTCTCTCTCTCTCTCTCTCTCTCAGAATTACAAGTTTCACCGGAGCCAGCTGTTATTTGATCACGCATTTGCATTTACTCAGGACTTGAATTAACGTGTATTATGATAATCTTCCAAAACACACACACACACACACACACACACACACACACACACACACACACACACACACACACACACACACACACACACACAGGGTAATTGATAGGTATGATGATTCTCAGGGGTAATGACAAGTATGGCAATGAATGGAAATTTTCAGTATAGGTTAGATTGGTAGAAAGACTTAGTGAGCAAATGGAATGAAGCAGAGCATTAGATAGCTATCTAATGAAGCATTAGATAGCAAAATCTAATTCAACACAAGCTTGTTTCACAGGTAAGATTGGACAGCTGAGGTTGTCAGGCGTCAGGGCAATACACAACCGACAGCTGATATTGCTGGACTCAGCAGTTAGTACTCGCTCTTTCACTCACATGTAGATGAGTGCACCTTGGCGAGTACATACAAATAAAGAGCCGACCACATGTATACAACAGATGTGTGACGTGAGTGTGCAGGTCTCGGGGGGGGGGGCCTCGTAGCCTGGTGGATAGCGCGCAGGACTCGTAATTCTGTGGCGCGGGTTCGATTCCCGCACGAGGCAGAAACAAATGGGCAAAGTTTCTTTCACCCTGAATGCCCCTGTTACCTAGCAGTAAATAGGTACCTGGGTGTTACTCAGCTGTCACGGGCTGCTTCCTGGGGGTGGAGGCCTGGTCGAGGACCGGGCCGCGGGGACACTAAAGCCCCGAAATCATCTCAAGATAACCTCAAGAAGCTCAGGTATGGAACCCAAGCCTTAAAAAATACAAACTAAAACCAGAAAAGGACCGACAGGACTGGACCTGAGCACAAAAGACCGAGGGGGACTGGACCTGAGCACAAAAGACCGAGGGGGACTGGACCTGAGCACAAAAGACCGAGGGGGACTGGACCTGAGCACAAAAGACCGAGGGGGACTGGACCTGAGCACTAAAGACCGAGGGGGTTGGACCTGAGCACAAAAGACCGAGGGGGACTGGACCTGAGCGCAAAAGACCGATGGGACTGGACCTGAGCACAAAAGACCGAGGGGGACTGGACCTGAGCACAAAAGACCGAGGGGGGACTGGACCTGAGCACAAAAGACCGAGAGAACTGGACCTGAGCATTAAAGACCGAGGGGGACTGGACCTGAGCATTAAAGACCGAGGGGGACTGGGCCTGAGCACAAAAGACCGAGGGGGACTGGACCTGAGCACAAAAGACCGAGGGGGACTGGACCTGAGCACAAAAGACCGAGGTGGACTGTACCTGAGCACAAAAGACCGAGGGGGACTGGACCTGAGCACTAAAGACCGAGGGGGACTGGACCTGATCACAAAAGACCGAGGAGGACTGGACTTGAGCACAAAAGACCGAGGGGGGACTGGACCTGAGCACAAAAGACCGAGGGGGACTGGACCTGAGCACAAAAGACCGAGGGGGGACTGAGCCTGAGCACAAAACACCGAGGGGACTGGACCTGAGCACAAAAGACCGAGAGGGACTGGACCTGAGCACTAAAGACCGAGGGGGACTGAACCTGAGCACAAAAGACCGAGGGGGACTGGACCTGAGCACTAAAGACCGAGGGGGACTGGACCTGAGCACAAAAGACCGAGGGGGACTGGGCCTGAGCACAAAAGACCGAGGGGACTGGACCTGAGCACAAAAGACCGAGGGGGACTGGACCTGAGCACTAAAGACCGAGGGGGACTGGACCTGAGCACAAAAGACCGAGGGGGACTGGACCTGAGCACAAAAGACCGAGGGGGACTGGACCTGAGCACAAAAGACCGAGGGGGACTGGACCTGAGCACAAAAGACCGAGGGGGGACTGGACCTGATCACAAAAGACCGAGGGGGACTGGACTTGAGTACAAAAGATGTGATTGAAGATAACTCAATACAAAAAAATATAATGTAACTATTAAACAACGAGATAAAAGTCATTGTATTAATAACAGTACTAATAATTCAACATGTGGCTACAAGAGTTTAACTCAAACGCGTGCAAGATAATGAAGCTCGGAGCTGGGTATTAAATAAGAGAGGAGAGAGAAGAACCTGTCTCCCGAAGCCCACATCACATGGGTATATGACCAGGGGGGCCAGATTCACGAAGCAGTTACGCAAGCACTTACGCACCTGTACATCTTTTCTCAATCTTTGGTGGCTAGGTTTACAATTATTTAACAGTTAATAAGCTCCGAAGCACCAGGAGGCTGTTTATAACAATATCAACATTTGATGGGGAAGTTTTCATTCTTGTAAAGTGTTTAATAAATGTAACCAAAGCCGTTAAAGATTGAGGAAAGATGTACACGTTCGTAAGTGCTTGCGTAACTGCTTCGTGAATCTGGCCCCAAATGGGTATACTGAGGTGAGCAACACAAGATCTTCCTTTAGAAATCTGAATAACTAATCAGGATATTGTATTCCACATACGTGCGACCGTTCCTGGAATATGAAGTGCCAACATGAGGTCGTCATCTCTTCAAACACAACACGGGGCTGAAAAAAGGTGTCATTAAAGCTTCTACACAAAGAAGGTCTTTACCAATATGGAATGTAATTGAAGCTGCTAATCAAATCATAACGTAACGATACGTGAAGAAAGCGAGTCACTGCATTAATTAACCATTAGCTGGAAAGGCGGGGCTTAGGAGCTGAAGCTCCACACTACCCGCACATCTAGGGAAGTACTGGTGAAGGAGCCAGAAACTGAGGCAACACCCAACTAATTAACTAATGAAAAAACTGCATGTAGCAGCAGCAACGTCCAACAGTTTGGTTGACCAGCCTATCAACCAGGAGGCCTGGTCAGTGACCGGGCCCACGCGTACATTGATCCTCGGGAAAACCCTCAAGGTAGCCCCAAGGTAAGGCACCCAACACCCTCTCATTCTTGATCCCACTCACCATCACCCTCCCCCCCCCTCTAAACCCATCTACCTGCTACCCTCCATCTATCTGCCCACTCGATAGATCACCTGCCCACCCAACAACTTAACTGTCTATCTGCCCACTCAACCCACCAACATAACCACCCACCTTCCTAACAACCACCTACTTGCCCACACAGCAACCCGCCTACTCACCTCTGAGACAACAGTTCAAAATGTTAATTTTTCTCTAACTGGGAAACCAGTTAGGAAGTCTTGTATTAGATTAGTGTCAGAGGCCGAATACTTGGTCTTAACTGTGATCACTTTGTTGGTATATGTAAGTAGGTATGTATTACGCTCGCACACAGGCACGCACACGCACACACACACACACACACACACACACACACACACACACACACACACACACACACACACACACACACACACACACACACACACACACACACACACACACACACACACACATAGGGAGCCGGCGGCCGAGTAGACAGCACACTGTACACGTGATCCTGTGGTCCCGGGTTCGATCCCGGGCACCGGCGAGAAACGATGGGCAGAGTTTCTTTCACCCTATGCCCCCCTGTTACCTAGCAGTAAATAGGTACCTGGGAGTTAGTCAGCTGTCACGGGCTTCTTCCTGGGGTGTGTGGGTATGGGGAAAAAATAGTAGTAGTAGTAGTAGTAGTATAAACAGTTGATTGACAGTTGAGAGGCGGGCCGAAAGAGCGGAGCTCAACCCCCGCAATCACAACAAGGTGAATACTGGTACCACGAGAGCGAGAGACAGACAGACACAGAAAAAGGCAGACAGATACACAGAGAGATAGCAAGATTTAGGCCAAATTATGCAAATTGTTTGATAAAAAATGTTATTCAGAAAGGCATTATAGAGTGTAGCACAAAGATAAAATACATTTCAATCTTGTATATGTTTTATTTGCATTTAAAGCTCCTTTTTTTAAATAATATAATTGAAATATAAGAAATTTCAAGCGATATCTAAAAAAAATCATCTCAGTATATCCAGGATGTACATTAAAGTGAAGGGAATTATCGAGCTCAAAAACATAGAAAATGGGTCATCTTTCCGTAAACATTTGGCTCCGAGGCTCCATAAGAAGAGCGAACACTCGCCTCTATTTCCCTGGCGCCTCGTATGATGCTGGCGACGCTTGGCAATGAGTGACGTTCACATCTTTCCACCCGAGTGTCATGATATTTTGATGGCTGCCAGGGACACGTGGACGGGTGGTGATGATTCTGGGGGTAGATGTGTGATGAAGATCGTTGTGATGGTGGTGGTGGTGATGGTCATTGATGGATTGGTAGTGGTGGTCATTGATGGACAGGTGGTGATTATGATCATTGATGGACAGGTGGTGATTATGATCATTGATGGACAGGTGGTGATTATGATCATTGATGGACAGGTGGTGATTATGATCATTGATGGACAGGTGATGAGTATGGCCGTTGATGAGCTAGTAATGGTGGTGGCCACGTCTGTTGTAAAAAAAAAATGATAATTCTTCCCGTTCTTCATTTGTTATTATTCTATTTCATTTCTCTTCTTCTAACTCATTTTATTCTTTTTCTCTTCTCACGCTTTAGTAAATCCTTCTTTGTTTTCCGACGTTTTTTTTTGGTTAGTGAAGATATTTCAAAAGATCTGTCTCTCTCTCTCTCTCTCTCTCTCTCTCTCTCTCTCTCTCTCTCTCTCTCTCTCTCTCTCTCTCTCTCTCTCTCTCTCTCTCTCTCTCTCTCTCTCTCTCTACTACGAAAGAGGAGACAACAAAGAACTGTTGAATGGTGTCAGCACACTACTCAGCCTCACCTGATACCTTGTGTGTGTGTGTGTGTGTGTGTGTGTGTGTGTGTGTGTGTGTGTGTGTGTGTGTGTGTGTGTGTGTGTGTGTGTGTGTGTGTGTGTGTGGATGGATTCCCAGGTGATGTTTAGCCCTTTTTTGGTTTTGCTTTTTTTTGGCGATCGCTCAGCCGGTTGGCTGTAATCCGGTTAGAGTGGAGAAGTCCATCAGGGAATGAAATTTCGGGAACCTGAAATGAAAACAAGTGTGTGGGTGTGGGTGTGGGGGGGTGTGTGTGGGGGGCAGGGTGTGTGGGGGTGTGGGTGAGTGGTGTGGGTGGGAGGAGACAGGAGGCCAGGAGGAGGGGGACGGGGGCGGGGTGTATTATATTTGATCAGGGGTCGCTTGTCCTAGTTAGCGGGGGGGGGGGTGTGTGTGTGGGGGGGGGGGGGGGGGGAGGGGGGGTGGCGGGGAGATTGATCGGGGTCGTCGCCTTAGTTAGCGGGGGGGGGGGGGGGGAGCCATCATATGTTTTTGAGTGATAGACTTCTTATAGATCGCTCGCTCGCACGTGCGTGCACACACACGCACGCACAGGGTTTTGTAAATAGAGTGATAGACGGCTGGAACAAGTTAAGTGAGAAGGTGGTGGAGGCTAAAACCGTCAGTAGTTGCAAGGCGTTATATGACAAAGAGTGCTGGGAAGACGGGACACCACGAGTGTAGCTCTCATTCTGTAACTACACTTAGGTAATTACATACACACACACACACAATTTCCATACACAATTTCAAATGTAGACATGATAGAGCTAAAAAAACTCAGGAACGTGTTCTCTAGTAGATTGACAGTTGAGAGATGGGACCAAAGAGCCGCAGCACAACCCCGCTCAAGCACAACTAGGTGAGCACAACCAGGTGAGTAAACACGACGGTTCCAACTGGCGACGCTTGGCAATGAGTGACGTTCACATCTCACGACCGGAGTGTCGAGAGAAGTGAGCGACACTCCGGTCGTTTCTGCTTCGTTCCGGTCGTTTCCTGCTATTGGCGGGAAATAACCCGCCAATAGCAGGAAACAAAAACCTGGTGTTTGACCTTACAGCGATCCCGTCTCTCCCACATTAAAACTAATGGAGCCAAAACCTAATGTCACTGGATGAGCGAATAAAAAGGATATGATCACCATATACAAAATCCTAAAGTAAATAGATAGGAAAGAAATGTACAGATTATTTGGCGTGGGGTGATACCTGGACAAGGGGGACACGAATGAGTAACAGATATATTATAAATAATTAGTTCAATGATAGAGTAAATGGATTGCACTAAAAAGTGAAGCAGTGGAGGAAGATTTCGTGGTGGTTGGCGCCGTAGTCAGGGTAGAGGAACTGGGCGCCAGTCGGAACTGTTCACCCCTGTTTACCCACCAGTAATTGGCTACCTGCTTGTTAACAGATTGGCGGGTCGTGTTCCGGGTAAAACAAGTAGGGTAAAGCTCTACGGACAAAGATGTCTCCACCTGCCAACAGGGGTCAGAAGGCGTCTACTCCTGTGAGCCAACAGGGGTCAGAAGGCGTCTACTCTTGTGTCCCAACAGGCGTCAGAAGGCGTCTACTCCTGTGTGCCAACAGGCGTCAGAAGGCGTCTACTCCTGTGTGCCAACAGGCGTCAGAAGGCGTCTACTCTTGTGTCCCAACAGGCGTCAGAAGGCGTCTACTCCTGTGTGCCAACA